TATGATGACGATTAAGAAGTTCACACACACACACACACACACACACACACACACACACACACATACAGACACATACATAACTGAATGCGTATCAACTGATCAATCAAGAGGAAGATAAATTCAACTTAACTTTTTGAACGATTTCTGGAAGATCAATATAACAATCTTCTGAAGCTAGGATCTCAAGGAAGAATACCTTCCCCACCCTCTCCCCCGTTGCCTGTTTTTCCACTTGACACCTACTCCCTCGACAAATATTTCCTCGCCCCAATCCTCCACTAAGATGAAAATCTAAAAAAAATCAAATCTAAGATGGCGGCCTAATACGAAAATGTGCACTCGTGCGCCCAAAATACGTCGGCACTGCAGGCTATTCTCGATGCAACAAGATTATTCTTCGTGAGGGTGCTTTCCGATCATTCAATCGATCAAACAGTCAATCACTTTATTTAAGAGTAAATGATGGTATCTAGCCAAAGGTAAATTAAAACCCTCTACTAACTGGGAACACTTAAATAAAGAAAATAAAATAACGGAAGACACGATGATTCGCGACAGGACTTGATGACATCGCGGAAATTTGCGACTGCCGGGAATTTCTCGACCACTAATTTGTTTACTTTTATATTGGTTTTCTTTTCTTTTGGAAACATGACTGTGTCTCTTGTGATTAGCAAACAGTTAAAAATTAAAATTTCTTTGAACGAGTCGGTAAAGGACCGGACAAGATGTCCGGCAAACCAAGGATTTGTCTGGTCAGTACCCAATTTTGACCGGACATTGTCCGTTGACCGGCCGTTATTTGCAGCAGCCCTGCATTAGACTTGCAGCACTCCACTCTAATTTTAATTTTTTTTGTCCTCAGAAGATGAAAAATGCGTCACAGCAGGAATCGACCATGGAAAGAAAAGGCAAGGCGGTCTTACCGGGAAAAAGAAGACTCCTGCTAAGCTAGACAAGAATTTCCCTTCAGGTCACAATTCTGATCAAACTGGTGAAAATGTCGATTCAGACTCGGGCGTGTCCGTTATAGAAAGAAACAGCAAATCCTTAACGGTCAATGGGGCGTCTTTTCGTCAGAGGAAATTTTCCAAGACATCGAAGTTGGTTGGTCAAGCAGGGAAAGCAGGGAAAGCAGAGGAGTTTGATGACTCTTTAGTTACGGAGAGAGAAGAAAATAGACAGGAAAACATCGTTAAAGCAAAATTGGGTGTGATTAAGACAAAGAATGATTTACTGCGGAAAAATACTGTCAAACAGGTTAAAGTAGTGAGTCCAGAGAAACCGGAGAGTCAGGTTAGTACCGGTAAAAACAAAGAAAAAGACAGAATTGACGTCAAGAGCAGTGTATCGCAGGAAAATAGTGTAAAGATGAAGAGTGAAAGGCTCTCTTCGGAGGAAACTCGAACTGATGATGGAGATGCGGATGTAGAAGGCAGCACGTGTACAGAGGAAGATGAACAGGAATATCACCAGGAAAATGATCGGGGAACGGAGAGAAAACAGCGTACGAAGCTTGTCAAAAAGGTTAAGGTAAGGCGACTGATGATGTCTTGATTTTCTCTGGTTTATCTCCACGAAAAGGAGTTAAGTCGGGTTTGACACATTTGTTGTTTAGTTCACGTTACGCCATACAATCAATATTTCCGTCTTTTCTCGCACCTTTCCTGCCTTTCTTGGACAATGTGGTCAGGAGATGCGTGTATTCTTTGTTTTTCTTTCGAGCCCTTTAGACTTGCCCGAGTTTAGGAACGCTGACACGAGCAGTTTAAACCCTTCCCCTCAAGCTCCCCTTACTCTGCGCAGGGAGTAAGCCATACATAACCATCGACATAATTTTAATATAACTCAGCACAATTTAGTATACTCCTTCCTTGTCCTTGTAGCACCGTTATCTCCAATATTCTTGATGCCAGGGATTTAAAATATCCGTTGGTAAATTACACTGATACACTGGCAACTGTCAACGCCCGCCGTGGCCACCTCAAGTTTGAGATAACGAATCACCACTGTATGCAGAAATGTCTGTCTCGAGTAATAAAGTTACATGGGGTATCTGCCATTTTATGTTGACGGAATTAAGTTAAGAACTTAATTAAAGTATTTGAATGAAGTAATTTAATGAGAGCGAATTTGAGAGGTCCTAACTTTTGTTTTTTCTTTTTTTTTTTTTTTCACAGCCGAAGCGATCGATTGTGATGACAAGCATGCATTTTGGGTGGGCAACTGTTTCAAATTTTAGGCGCTGTCGTGCCGCACATTCAACTGTCATTCAGTGATAGACTTTGCAAAACTTTCATTTCCATTTCTTTCAGTGAGCAAGACATTGTTCTGTCTGTCGTACGTAAACTGGGTAGATTCTTTATCGAAGACCGAGTCTCTCCTTCCACGAGTCATGTGATCGCTGGAAGTCCTCGCCGCACCTTAAACGTTTTAATGGCTATTGCTCAGGGATCTTGGCTCGTATCACCTGTTTGGGTAAGTAAGAGGGGATGAGAAGAAACATTACTACATAAACAGTAATTTTTTGCACCATTCACTCCAGACAACCTTCCTTCGGGAACCCTTTCCCCCTCTGATACATTTGAATAAGCTTGATTACGTTATACGACTTTCAAAATCACCGTCAAATTAAAAAAACAAAACAAAACAAAACAACTAAAAACCGTGGTCCACCTAGAACGAGAAATACCAGAAATGTGATAACGGACCAAAATACAGTCGAACATGTATTTGGCGGTCATCCACGGGGAATGGCGGGGAATATAAGTTGAATACAGGATGAGGTGGCGCGGCCGAGTGGTCAGGGTGCTGGACTTGTAATCCGGTGTCCCGGGTTCAAATCCTCCACCCTGCCACTCACTGGATTTGTTCTCGGTTGCC